TTTAAGGGTTTAGGGCTTGGGGTTCAAGGGTTTAGGTTTCAGAGTTTAGGGTTTAGGGCTTAAGGGTTTAAGGGTTTAGGGCTTGGGGTTGAAGGGTTTAGGTTTCAGGGTTTTGATTAGGGTTTAGGGGTTTCTTTTAGGGTTTAGGATTTAGGGTTAAGGGTTTAGGTTTCAGGGTTTTAACTAGGGTTTAGGGGTTGCTTTTAGGGTTTAGGATTTAGGGTTAAGGGTTTAGGTTTCAGGGTTTTAAGTAGGGTTTAGGGGTTTCCTTTAGGGTTTAGGATTTAGGGTTACAGTAAGGGGTTAGGTTTCAGGGTTTAGGGTACAGGGTGTTAGTTAGAGTTTAGGGCGTTTAGCGGTTCAGGGTTCTGGAGAAGAGGGCCCTGCTGCAGACGACCGAGTATCAGCGTATTCTCAAAGCCCGAAACACACCGTACCCCTAAACACCAAACCCAAAACCCTACTTTTTGAGTTAGCCCCAGTACGCCGCCAGAATGCTACTGAACAGGAGCCTGCCTTCGGACCTGAGAGCAGAGAAGCTAACAATTAAGGCCTAATGTAGGGGCCTAAATAATTACACACATTATTTGGGGTTTAGGGTCTAGGGTTTAGGGTTTACATTATTTGGGGGTTTCCATATTGAAGCTAGAGTATAATGGGCCCCGACACCGTATTCAAATTGAGTATTAAGGCCCCCCACGTGAACTCCTCGAACCTGCCGGGTGGCTCTGGTTCTGGCATCTTGATTTCGTGGCAAAGGTTTACTTAGGTTTTGGGGTTTAGGGTTTAGGGTTTAGGGTTTAGGGTTTGGGTTCAGGGTTTAGGGCTTAAATAGGGATGTGCAGGGTGTCGCTGGGGCATGATGCTGGATGCACTGTGCCAGAAATGAGGACCTTCGGCACTGTCATCTCCTGGGTAGTGAGGTCGACCCAAACCTTAAAACCTCAACCCTAAACTCCAAACCTCAACGCCAAACCTTAAAACCTCAACCCTAAACCCCAAACCTTGACGCTAAACCCTAAACCGTAAAACCTCAACCCTAAACCCCAAACCCCAACCCTAAACCCTGAACCCTAAACCTTAAAATCTCAACCCCAACCCTATATCCCGAAGCCCCAAACCAAGGTATGGCAAGGGGCTGTACTTCACGGAGAGTGTGACCAAGGCCGATGAGCGCCTTTGAAACACCTTTTAAGGGCTCCTTTTTAGGGGTCTTAGTTAGCCAGTTGGAGAACTTTAAACTTTTTGGCCTTTTATATTAGGCTTATCCGAAAAAGTTCGAACTTTTTTGGGCCTGGTTGTGGAAGAAGAGAGGGGTTGCTTTAAGGTTTCCAGGGTTTCGGGTTTTCAGGGCTCACTAAAGGATTCCTTTCAGGGTTTCTTTGCGGGTTTCCTGTTCCTTTATGTGGTTCCTTTAGGGGTTTCTTTAAGAGCTTGGTTTGTAGGAAACTCCAGGGTTTTCAGATGTTCTTTTCAATTGTCGACTTCAAGGTTGAGACAGATTAAGGGTTTAGGGTTTGGGGCCAAAGCTTCAGGGTGTTGGGGTTATTCAGGCGGTTACTGAGCTGTGGCTTCAGGTTTCAGCTTTAGTAATATAGGGGCCTGAAAGAATTAGACTAGGGTTTCGGAGTAGAATATACTATAGTTATCATGAGGAACCCCCCAAAATAGTATAGGTAATACTTAAGGCCCCTATACTAGCTGTGGGGTGTCGGCTTGGGTTTTCGTAGATGAGCTTGCTGCGTCTGCCTAAACCAGCAGCCTGGACAGGTGACAAAAAGGTGGTCACAAAAATGGCAGGATTTATGGTTCACCTTAAACCCTAAACCCTAAACCCTAGACCAAAACCCTCAACCCTAAACCGTCAGGGCTTCCTAAGGCTCTTAGGACTTGTATTTTGAGGCTCTTGGGCCCAAGACCATACTAGATTTGGGCTATTTGGAGCCTCAGGGGCTACAGCCAGCAAGACTGCTGGACGCATCCCTGGAGTACCTTACGGGTTTAGGGTTTAGGGTTTAGGGAGTATTGTTTGACAATCGGATCTGTAGTATATGCTGGTCCCGTGTATGCAACTCTTGAAGCTTAAAGCATAAGCCCCATACCATACAGGATTGTAATGTAGGGGTCGGACACAACGGCAATTACCAGTGCCCATGAAAATTAGAAAGAAGCTATGCTATAATACCCCCAATGCCCAACCCTTAGAATAACCTTTCGTAGAAACTTAAAGGAGCACTATTCTACTTATTCACGGCCGATACATTACTGGGTTCTCCTTAAAGAACTAAATATAATATGCTAATTACCATAAGCGGGATCTATAGTAAACACTCCGGTTTCCTTGTTATGGTAACGGAGATGACATTTCTGAACAATTCCCCAAACTCAAAACCCTAAACCCTAAGCCGTAAA